CAGTCGCTTAGCGTTTATGAATTGGACAAAAGAGTCGAGAAGCTGTTGAATGGCGATTCCTTGTCCATTCACGATACTTTCATTCAAGTACTCTCTGAGTCATGCCACCTTGTGGGTTTCCCTCATACTTTCTCCTTACAACTTTATCCACTCGTCGTGTTATTTCGTACTGTTTATGGAAAAAGTAATCGTACTCAGGTAACGATTTCGAGATCGATGAATGATATTCTTGCCGGAAACGTGAAAAGCGAATCTCAGGTAACGAGGGTTATAGCTACGATTTTCGAAACAAGTGCTTCGAGAAATAGTACGTGTATAGAGACACCTTTGTTTTTAGAAGGACTACATCCCACACATCTCTACAATAAATGCATTGCTTATATTACGTAGCCTCGAGAATGGATGGGGAGCTCCTGATCCAACTGCTGGTCAATTTATTGGCGATGCTGTCAGAGTAAGATAATGTCTATCATTGCTTCAGTCCCTTTTTGTTGTTTACTTATTTCCTGTTTGCCTTCCCTCAAGGTACTCTACTGATATGAAACACGGTAAATACAATAGGCATCATTTTACGTTTAATACTTGGGTGGTCACTGGCTAATAATTGTGCGCTCAGCAGCACATTTCTCAGCTAACGAGCATTTCTTGATATGGCAAGATTTTTTCGTGGGTTTCGAGAAACTTCTGAACCCGCGTGCACAGATTGTCACCAACCCTTATAGGTCCTATGGGGGATAGTTACCCTACGACTGGGCTTGTTACAGGAACACAGCGATTCCTGGCAGTTGTTTACTCTTATTTAGGTTTTCGGATGAAAGCGTTGAAATGTTCAGTTTGGGTGATCTCACTAGGGATAGGACTTTTATGGATATCTAGTAACGTATACGCAGGCAACATGAGGCGGAATGGTGATGGGTTACCATACTAGGATTTAAAATAGCTTTGGCAAATAAGTTTTTTTGGATTAAAATCTTAAATGTGCTGAAACAGTTATAACTCATGGAAGTAAATATTACTTAAAAAACAAGACTACTTGAGTGGATTCACCCTTTATTCATGAACACGAGGTTTTTCTTTCATATAGACAATGCTACTTAATTGAAGTCGAATGCATTGCGCATGCCTCAGGGATTGATCAACGTCGAGAGCTTTATCCTTCTATTTACTTTTTATAGACAATGTTAGCTGATCGAATCGATGCCGCTATACATGTTCGGAAGTCTCCTAACACAAATAAGATTGGATTCCGTAGCAGTTTTAATCCATCCAGGTATGTTCATGAACTCCGTCGACTCTGATGTAGAAATGTAAGTATCGAAATTCCAGCGTACAACTTGGGAATCCATTTCATCAGATAACTGTTACAGATCTTTTCAATTCCTTTGCGGTACGTTTCTAGCGAAAGTCGTTTTCTGTACGAATAACAACCTGTTACCTTTACTTTAGAAGTTCTCAAATTTCGATTTTTAACTGGGACTTACCCATACCTCAATTCTTTTTAGTACGAATCTTCCATCTTCATAACGATGTCGTGGTTTTTTATGGCATAGTAAAAGCTTATAAGAAGAAACCTCAACAGTCGAATGAGCTTCTTTATGTTCGTTTCTTTTTAGGTCCAAAATCATTTTCTTGGTGCTGAAACGCGCAACTTGCTGCGACTAAAGTGTCACTCCAATTTTTATGAAAAATTGAAGTTTGCTACAGAAGGTGGTTGTGAGGAGAACACTGGTAGTCCATCGACAAGTAGGACGACGAATTTGTCCAGTGTTGTTGTAGGAGAGGAAATTGTTCTTAATGAGAGTTTCTGCAACTTGGCCACTGCTGCTGCGCACACCTGCATTTCACTGCCTGTGACTATTTGCTTATCTCCCAAGCTGTTTGGTTTATTTCATGAAACAGAATGTAAAACTATTCATTTACCTAATAAGATTACACTACCGGTCAGTGCTAGTAGGGAAGGCGACTCTAAAGTGCGCCACGGATTAACTCTTCCAGACATTGATACAGAATCAAGTTCATTCTATATAGCATCCACTGAACATCTCGGTGTTAATGTATCTTCTGTTACTGAGTCCCTGCTAAAATTGAAGGGTCGATCTGTAAAACGTAGAAGAGAAAATATTTTGGATAAGTGTACAGTAAGCGACGTAGCCGACCCTACCGCCACTCCGTCGCAGTCATCCAACAAATCTGCAAGGTTAGAGGTAATCGAGTCCTCCAGTGAATTACTTCATTCCTCAAGAGAATATTATTCGAATATTACTGACTCTCTCAGCTTAAAGTGTACAAAAAACGAAGAGTTGCAGCATTCTAACTCGAAGCTGATAGGTTCACCACCGTCCCTCAAAAGGCCATCACCAAAAAAAGAACGCGCACTTAAAAATGATGAGTTGAAACATAAGGTTGATACGTTATTAGATGATGAATTGGAGGTGGATGAGCTATCGAAGAATTTACGGAAAGATTGGCCAAGAATTCGTAAAAAGAAGGAGTCAAAGGGGAAAAGTGAATCAGGAAATTTCCCTACACAAACAGAATCAATGTCTTGCGAATTAAAGACTGCTTCTTTCGAGCTGGGGAAAAATGCTGTATTTCGAACGAAGTCCGGTAGTTCTGGAGCAACGGATAAAGATGCAGTTCAAAGAGCGCAAGCAATAATAGATGCATGGAAGTCATCGTCGTATGAAGTTGTCCCAACATATGTGGACGAGCAGGTAAGATTCGAAAACGAAAAGCACATCAAAGGTTCTCGCATTAGGGCTCTACCCAACGCTTTACCTATGTATTGTGACAATAAAGATCGGGAGCTTATCGCATTAGGAAAGACGCCGTCCAACACAACTGCTTCGCAGGGCAAAAACACGTTGCTTGGTGCACCATTAGATTGTAGTAAGGAAAGTGCTAGAAAAGCACAGAAGTACAACTCTTCATTTTCTCCGTCTTTCGAAAATAGTTCCGCCTTACAAAATGTAATGAAGGCAGGTGCATGTTCTCATTCATCATCACGAGAAGGAAAAAAGGAAGCAGCAATGACTGGTTTCGCAAGGAGAAGCAAGGCAAGTAATGAATTTTCCTCCGAATCAGGTGGAAAAACTGCAGGTTTTTGCTCTGAGAAAGCTTCTACGTCGCTATCTACGCTTACTTCATCGCAGGAGCAAAAACTACAAATGTCTTCACCAGAACAACTTAAAAGAAGGAAGACAAGTATTAAATTCTCAACGCCATCGTCATTAAACCAAGAATCAGATATACCGAAATCACGGCAAATGGATATGCCTAAAAGAGAAAGGCTAAGAAGGGCATCAGGACCCACTGTGGGCTCCACAACCGACGTCCAAAAAAGTATGGCACAGCATAAATCATCTAAAATTGATAAGGAATCTAAGCCTCGGTTAGATATCAGTCCTATTAGTGGAAAAAAGAAAGAGAAGAAACCTGAACAGGTTTCTAAGTCAGGATTATCGAAAGGTAGAAAAATACCATTGAGTAGACAGCAACGCGACGAACACGTTAAGGAAGCTGCAGATGTTTCGCAACAGTCGTGTTCACTAGAAAAGCATCTTAGTGAAGAAGCTCCATCAAAAATGATGTCAAAACGAATACGGATTTTTAAAAATGACAATACGAGGACTACACTCACTTTTCACTTGTCGAGCCAATCTAGTGTTGAAGGTGAATCACAATCTTCAACGGTCATGAAAGGAAAACGCATAAGGTCTCGCGGAAGCCAAGGTGGTGCCTTTACGAAAGCAAGTACGATCACTCTTCGATCATCGAGCCAATCTAGTGTTGATGCCAAACTACAATCTTCAACGGATCGCAGGAGGTTTTGCGGAAGCCAAGGTGGTGCAGGTGCGAAGACAACCACTCTCACTTCCCACTCATCGAGCCAGTCTAGTGTTGACATTGAATCACAACTTGCAACAGTCATTGACAAAGGAAATCGCACAAGATCCTTTAAAGGTCAAGATGGTGCTGTTACGAAAGAAAACCACCCTAAGAAGCTAATGATTGGGCAGAGGGGTGCACAAAACACAAGAGATTCCATTCCACTTAAAGTGAGTGCCACCAATGATGTTTTGGGTGGTTCCACTTCGCGCAGATCATCGCAACGTCGTAGGTGTCAGGAGTCCGATTAGAATTTGACTTTAGCTGGATATTGGTACTATGTGTGCTTAATCGCATTGCGCTATAATAAGGCACTTATGTACCCTATTTCTCGAATTTCTATCGTATACGTCTTCGGATTCTGTAGAATGTCATTGCTCCGTAACATGTAGGTTTTAGTCACTCTGTTAACAGGGGTACTTCATGTTCTTGTCAAGTTCGAGACTGATAGGTGGTGTTTTTTTAGCAAATAAATTCATCGTCTGTGGATATTTCACATGTGTGTTCCATTTTTTTACAGTGGTCTATAGTAAAGGAAGTTTTGAAATTTGTGCCTCTATTGACTCGCTTTTTTTGCAATAAATCGTTTCGCATTTTCTTGAACACTATGCGTAACACAGTGACTCTTCTAAAGCAGTTTTACATCATTGATTCGAACAATTTTTTTTTCCACTATTTATTGGATTATTGGGTGCTTTAAAGGATGCGTGTTGCGCAGTGGTCGGAGGCGCCCTACGCTAGACATATGGGATCGGTCCTGGCGCCCGCTGGCCCGCCCTCCTTCCGAGGTCGGCAAATTGGTACCAGACTTGTCTGAGAGGATAGCAGCATTGGGTCCATACATCGGCAAGCCACCGCGAGTCGTTGTAAAGGCCAGATATGCATTCAATCACGTCCAACGATGCTTGATGAACTCATGCACTCCATGACGCATCCTCTGGGATTGATCAGTGCTGAAGACTTTGTTTTTTATTTTATTTTGGAGTTGAAGTTTGCGTCCTCTGCTGTACAACTAGTACAGTTTCCTTACTGAAATATTAGTAGGGCGCATGATTTGTTTATGATTCGTCTTTAGATCTCTTAGGAACTGTGTTTACTTGAATACTCCTTTAATGACTGCATACATCGGAGCCGAGGAATTGCTGCTGCGAACGAAAAGGGTTATCGATCCATTCAACCGGATAGGATGTAATATCGAGCCAACCCTTACTGTGATTGAGTTCTGCCAGTTCCAAGGACCACGAGCGTTGGCGACTGTTTCGCTGAAACCGGGTTAGTAAGAAAATTTCGCTTTTTATTTCGAAAATGCAGTATTTGATGCAGAATGATGGCAATATTCCTAACCAGACTTACAAGAGATTAATATGGGATGAAGACGTACAACGAGGTGTTCTATTTAAAATTTGATCTGGCTACCAGCACTGACCACTGGTTTTTTAAGTCCACCGGTAGTCGCATCACCTGACAGAACCTCTTGTGGGATGGTAGACATTGCCTATCGTATTCACCCTTCGAATACTTCCAAAGTCATTAGTTCGGCGGTGCAGACTTGCTTCTTAAACCAATTTCAAGAAAAACCTTGAGTGTGTTAAGTGAGTACTTCTGGATGACCATTTAAGTAGAGCAGAGCGACCTATGCATCTCCCAGGGAAGTGAGCGTCAAGCTATCCCCGTACATTGGTGGCCCATCCTAGCCGTTTAAGCTCCTTCTTGAGCACAGTTCGCAACACAGTGGAACTAAGGCCCCAATTTCATTTTCTGCTTGTCGAATTGACTTTTTTCGGTTATGAATAAACATTTCTTAAACAACTTCTACTACCTCGGACCCTGGGTCACCGGAATTGGAAGGCGGCTTCGAACATCACATATGGACCATGTAGCCATAAGTTTTGCACGAGAGGCACTGATAGACTTTGCATCGACTTGAGCTCTTCCTGTAACGGTCAGTTACCGTCTTTGTGCTCTAGCAAAGGATCTCCGAACTCCGAACACCGTAACGTGTCGATGGATGGGCATGCTCTTGCTGGGTGATACGGCTACCATGCTTGTAGAGCTTCTTAATTTCGAAATAAATGATGGATCTGGAAAAAGCAGCAATGTAGATTTAAATGTTAACTTTTTATTTGCTACCTATTGCAGTTTTTCACGGCAAGGTATTATGTGAAATACAACCAGAATGATGCTGAGATATTTGCAAAACTACGGATCATTGGTGTGTTGCGGTGGGGAACGAACGTGCTATTTTCCTTTCTGGAGGCTAACCTGTTCACCACGCCATACGGGTCCTTCGTTTAGCCTGTTTCTCAGCTACACCTGCGGTCTGGAGTTTTGAAAATATCTCAGCGTCATTCTGGTAGTAAAGGTTTAGATGCAAAGAAAGAAAAGAAGAAAATTACTGAACCATATAAAGTAGGGAATTACTTTTCAACCACTTTATAGTTAGCTCATGTTCTAGTTTAATTTCAGGTAAAGTGCTTAGTTCAGTGGACATTGACAATTTGTCGTTGTGGTTGATGAGTTCTGAGGTGACAAGCGGCACAATTTTAAATATCTACAATCAGCAGATGGGAATCTATGCCTTCTCTTATTATACGGTCATCTATGATATAAGAGCAAGAGCATTCCAGGTATGATTCCATGGTGTACCACTTAGAACAATTTTCAAACCGAGCATCATTTAACCTCGGTGGTAACAATATCTTCTTGGATTGTTAAGCTAATACGAGGTTGATAAAGATATTTATTCGGCTAGCGTTTCGACGTCTTCGTCATCATCAGACCCGATGATCCGTGTCGGTGGTCCACAGTTGTTCGTCTTCTCGACGTGGCGTTTTCGTTGTCGTACGGAGAAGGATCCTCACGTCAGTGGAACACCGCACGAATGAGGCATGGTCATCCGCCAGTGCTCTTTTATACGGGACAGTTGTTGTTGATATGTCGTTAGCCGAACAGAACTAATCAACCTCGTGTAAGCTCAGCAATTTATATATTTACAACAATGTTTAAACCTTAGTTGTAGTCTGTAAAGTCGGTTGATGGGTCTGTTGTGGTCAGCTTGATATAGAGTCGCATGTATTTCCGCTCTAAGACATGCCCTGTGTTTAAAATGTTCTGTTCCAGCTTTTTTTCTGGACTAAATAGCGAAGGTAGCGCTTAAAGTTTGTAAAGTGCTTGATCATATGCGTTTTCGCCAGACTTATCAGTTTAATCGTCAAGATCAGTATGAGACCTGAATGAAGTCGTCGTTATCGTGTGCGAAGGTGTAGCAATCATTGTGATATGTTAAAGTTTCTGATCCATTTGTTACTACAATGTTAATTTTTTATTCACTGCCTGCTACAATTTTTCACAGCAAAGTATTATGTGAAATACAACCACAATGACGTTGAGATATTTGCAAAACTCCGGACAGCAGGTGTCTGCGGTGGGGAACGAACGCGCTATTTCCCTTTCCGCGGGCTAACGCGTTCACCGCCACACTATGCGGGTCCTTCGTTTCGCCCGTCTCTCAGCTAGTTTTCATCTCGGCCATTTGTTATTGTTCCCAGCGAAATCTGTTTTTTCTTCCTAATTCATTTTCGACCATTCAGCGTCCAATTTGCGTCGCTGTTCTGACTTCTAAGCGGCTAACACATTCTCAGCTATCACGTTTTTCAAATGGCGTGCGAAGGCTGGTGTCTCCTTTAATCAAGTGTAACCGTCGACTATTTTTGAGGCAGCTGGCTGATTTCATGAAGATTTCCGACGCCGTGGGTAAGTCTTTGGCAGGCTCAGTAGGACTAATCTAACTTTATATTATTGTTACAATCTGTAGAGTCCCAAACTATGGAGTGTTGCTCCGCTGTCGATGACGATATAGCGAAACAGTCAACGTCAAACCGGAGATTCATAAATGTTGCTGAACAGGTATCCCTGAACGTGATATTTCAGAAAGTTACCCATAGAAGATAATTTGGTGTCTTAGACCATGCATACATTGGACCATCATCCTTAGACATCACCGTTTCATAACGACCGCCTTTGTAAGTTTGTAAATGCTCAAAATGGTTTGTTCGCCTTCAAATGAGTTCGATTCTTTTAACTACTCGCAATCAGACGGTTATGAGGTGGCCAAAATCCTGAACTTCTCTATGGAAAACTTGTTAGAACTTATTTTGTACTGCCTTTGCGAAATGAATGAAAAATGGAGAACATAGGCAAAAACATGTCTTCGTTTTTACGTCGAAGTAGTCATATCAAAACATGAATGGAACATAGCTGCTTGAGGCATTCCGACATCCTCCTAAATGTTCAACACTTAGCAGAAGGGATAGCTTTGTTTTCCAAATAGAATCACTCAAGGTGGGAAGGAGTTCAACATTTCAAATTTGCTTTGGCTTACAGTAAATCTATGCCATAACAGAGCACGACTAGATATTCTCAGAGTTCTTCGTGTACGTCAAGCAAGGGAAACGTGAAAAGCAACTCTGGTTTGCGACAAGGACGTATGACGTTTACTGATTTAACTCAATTTGTTACCACCTTGATTACAAGGAATATAAGTGAAGTTGTGTTTGTTAGAACCACAGAGTCAAACACTTCGTTAAAGACGTGCAAAATATCCCAGGTATTATGCACAAGGTTTAGTCCTGCGTTAAAACACAGGAAACAGCACCCTTGATGATACTAGTGCTACCACATTTTCACAGGTCTTAGATAATCTTCCGTTCCTTAAGTAGCTTACTGCTTTATCGGATTTGTTGTTCAGCATAGGAACCCATTCAACTGTAGGTTAGACATTTCTATCCGGAAGTCCAGTTAAAAGTGGAAACCAGTGCAAAAAATCACCACCGCACTTGGAAGAAAGCTAGTCTCATGATTGCATGCCTCCAGCAATCCTCCAGAATTGACGACTTCTTGTAGTGATGAACCAATAGACACCTTAACTAGCTTACTTTGCTACTCTAAAAAATATCGTACTGGACGCATACCACCGATATGTTAGGTTCTGTATAAATAATCATGGCGATGGACAATTTATGAATCCAGGTAAGTTACCTTTCTTCAATATTAAGCTCTAGTGGAACTGGAAGGTAAGCATATTACGGTACACATAGACAGTGATTTTCAGGCTCGAAAAATTCGACAAAGACTACAAGAAATCTATGATAAGCACACTGATTCGTTCAATTGTAAGGATTTATATTTTGATATGTTGAATAATGCTAGGCTTGTTTCCAGCTGTTCCTTCCTTTCCACTTTTTGAATAACTGTTGAAGGCATCAAATGTAACGGCCATATGGGAGAGGACCTCGCTGCTGTTAAAGAAGTTTTCGTCGCTTTTGTGAAGACATCGGCGCTTTCTCCCATTTCCGATTTAGCACCTTGTGTGAGTTCATTATTATTTCTCATAAAGGATTTGTTTAAATATGGATGTGCGTGCAACTTTTTCTTTCTGGACTGCATCTCATTCTACCTATATTTTTTTTGTGTGCTGAAAAAGATGCATTTTTTTCTACGCATTGAGTAGGTTATTCAAAGAGCAATGATAAAAGAATAAAGCTTTCGGTGTTGATCAATCCCTGAAGGATGCGCCATGCATTCGATTCATTAAGCATCGTTTGGAGGTAGGTGAATGAGTGCATATCTGGCCTTTACAATGATTTTCGTTGGTCTACCCATGTATCGAACCACTGCTGCTACTCTCCCAGACAAGTCTGGTACTAATTTACCGAACCCGGAGGGACGTAAGGTTTGGTGAGACTGGAGCGTGGAGATCGAACCCATGTGTATTGCAAGGCGCTACCGACTACTACGCTACGCGGGTTCATATTATTTTAAACAACCAGTATAGATTTCACTGGAGCCGTAAAGCGCTTGTTTTCAGGTATTCGAATCGTTCACTTCCAGCTTACACAGCTTTCTAAGCGAATGCAGTATGGAGGAACACTTACGCCAAGGGGTGTTGTACTCTGCGAACACTCCTATTCTTGTTCTTCCCAAAAGGAGTTCTCCTTTAGCGAAAATAAATGCATCAGACAGGTTTTCATTTATTATTCCGTTGTACCTGTTTGCAACTGTGGTTAACGATTTGACAAATTTGCGACGATGTGGCCATAAAAGTTGTACGATGCGGAAATAATGACCACTTTCAACTTTGAATCGATATATAGGAACCCTTAGTGAATTTTATCATTGCGAAAAAATTATCAGAATCGAAAAGTCTGCCCATAAGGCGGATGTTCTATTCTTTTACCGCCATGAAATTCTGAATTTGTAGAGCCCATGGCAAATACTGCCTCTACTTGTTGAGTTCAAAGCTCATGTTATATTTCAAACACGAAAGCAAATGAACAAGTAGAATTTCGTCCAGCAGAAAAAGATGCTCTAAGATCTTCCCATCATATAATTTATGCTTGCAGTTGTTGATCTTTCGTTGGAAATTTGAAGAACTCAATTCTTATCTAGGAATTCTAAGAGATTTCGTTCCAAATTTTTCAAATACTGTATCGATCAAGAACTTATCATATGTTGTCGGGTAATCAGCTTTTGTCACGAATATGTTAAAGTCAGATGCGATTTTGATTTCAGTGATGAACTTGTTTTTTCCGGCAATGAAGAAACACTTCGGATGGTCTCACAACATCTCGACAATGTAAGTTCGTAGCTATTTTTCGCATTAATTAGCAAACCAAAATATTGCGGCACTGTTTAGGATATTGCGTTTTATTCTTATTTTAGAAACTATAATCGTGCCTTTAAGGAAGTTTCTTGCCTGGTTATCTGCTTGAATTTCAGTTACTGTGTCCTGTGCTTACTGGAGAGGACATAGTTGTTTGTGGTTCCGAACAAAGGAAGGGAACCGTGGTCGATTTTGTGGAAAAGATTAACTTACTGAAACCAAAGGCACATCCAAATCATGATGTCGTTCTGTGGACAAAAAATAAAGAGTTAGTTTTCTTCTTTTCAGGTAGTTTTCGCTTCACTTCTGGAATGTTCAGTGGCATTGACAAATTCACTTGTCGACATATGCCAATAATTCTTCCACAACCAGAGTACTTTGAGTTGAGAACTTAACGTACTTATGGAAGAGGCGTTTATCGCTGTAAAGATCATGATTCATGTTTAATGTCATACTGGTATTTACCGAAGGCGTTACGAGTCTTACAATGTCAGTGATGAAGAACTGCCTATTTGAGTACTTTTTTGTATGAAGCTGAAGTATAGGCCGTTCTTCGCAAATCTCTATCAATGTGATCCAGTGATCCATAATAGAAATTTGGAAAGAAAATCACAAAACAGGATCCATATGGCAAACAATTAATGGTTTAATGTTTCCCATGGCGTCAGCTCTTCTCACCTTTATGGAACCGAAAAAACTGGTTTACATACCCAAAAGATCTTTGTAGTTAGTGCGATCAGTGGACTAACGTATATCTGTTTATTTCTTCGAAACGACCTTTACGGGAAATTTCAACGTGGTCGGTGTTCCGGTGGGCGGAAGTCGTTTATGTGAAATAGAACCAGATTTCAAGTTTTCACTTCTATCAATTCAAGATAAGAGCGCATGTAGCGCAGTGATCGGGGGCGCATTGCGATGCACACGTGGGATCGATCCTTGCGTCCCTAGCTCACCAAGCCTTCCATCCGTCCGGGTTCGGCAAATTGGCACCATACTCGTCTGTGAGGATAACTGCATTGGATCTATACATCGGTAGGTCACCGCGAGTCATTGTAAAGACCACATATGCATTCAGTCACCTCCAACCATGCTTAATGAAATCGAATGCATGGCGCATTCCTCAGGGATTGGTCAACGCCGAGAGCTTTTTTTAAAGCTTTTATCAATTCAAAGTGATTGAACAGTGACATTAGTGCATGTTACCACATACCGTTATACGCTTAGTTTTCATAAATTTTCTGTGTATTCTGTGTATTTTTCGATATCTAAGGAAGACAGGATGGGGTACAGCGAACTTGACAGAATTACAAAAAGACTCCTTTCTTTTGCCACAGGGTATCCTAAGCTTTCTAAAATATTAATTTTCACTTTAAATCCTTATCAGATTTTTGAAATTTTCAAAGTAAGCACGATAGCTGGAAACTCCAACATTAATTTCGCGAACACCATCATATTCTGGTTTACTATCGCTATACCGCATATTCAATTGGTTTCATGTCCGAAATATGAACATTGATGAATGAAGGCGAAAAAAATCCTCGACTTCGGAAAATTAGAATTTTTGCTTGGTAGAATAAAGAAGTCTGTGTCTTGTTTGCAAGCATGTAGATCGTAGTGGTTTATTGTTTTAGTTAATTAAATGCGAGGCGCAGGTAGCACAATGGTAGACATGTTGTTCAATAGGTAGGAGGCCTTGGTTCGACCCCACGACCAGGTCTTTCATCCCTTGTTGGTTGAAAAATTAGTTCTTGGCTCGTCTGCGAAGAACTCTCCTATACGCAGAAAGGCTGACGACTGGCTGTGGTGAAGACGTAAAAACTTTAGCGAGGCAGTTCCAGAATTCCAGGAAAATTCTCGAAGGATTCGGTCAGCATTTAACGATGTTCCTGAAAGAGGACCAGGAATCCTCAAGCAGCAACTTGAAATTCGTTTGCAAATGGTGGATGGAGGAGATGAACCGAACAAAGAAGTCATGAGATCGGCACAATATATGATGTTGGACCATGTAAAAATAAGAGAAGTTCACTGTGACCTATAGTACGTTTAGCTAAGGTTTAAAGTCTGTATGGTTTTCGGGTGTGTACAAAATGTAATCGTTACGAATTGTTGCCAACTTGTTGAATTTAA